AGGCTGCTGATGCTGCTGCTGATGTTGATGTTGCTGATGATGATGATGATGATGAGGAGGAGGATGACGACGATGATGATGATGATGATGATGCCGATGATGATGATGCCGCTGCTGATGATGATGGCGATGATGCTGCTGCTGCGGCTGCTGATGATGGTGATGATGATGATGATGATGATGATGATGATGATGATGATGGTGGTGACAGTGGTGATGATGATGACTACAGCGAAGGAGGGAGAAGGAGAAGGAGTTGGAGGGAGGAGGAGGAGGAGGAGGAGGAGCAGGAGGAGGAGGAGGAGGAGGAGGAGGAGGAGGAGGAGGAGCAGGAGGAGCAGGAGGAGGAGGGGGAGGAGGAGGACCAGTGGAAATCAAAGAGTCAACACGATGCTGGAATAAACCCTCTCTCCGAGCTCCCTGTCCATAGGCCCCTTACAAGGGTTGATGTTCACTGAGGGAACTGCCTCGTTGGAAGACAACCGTTCGAAGACCCTGAAGCATGCCAAACCATGATTCTCGGGACTCCAACGTCACGGATCAACCTGACAGTTGCGTCTTGACGATCCATAACCGTGCCAGAGCGCCACCCTTGGGTCTTCAACATTGCGAATCAACGCAAGTAACTGTTGCACCCGCATAGTTCTGAATCTTTCCCAAACACCATTTCTGGTACGCTGATCATGGGAGCCCGTGATTCCCTGGCATCTGTTAAAAACGAATCTGCGCGGCGCTAAGGCGAGAGCCATATTTTGAAACGACACCGCCCTCAACCAATGAAGCTCTTGCATTTTTGTTACAGCGAATGTGTGCGGCGCTAAGGCGAGAGCCGCATTTTGAAGACCACCCGCCCTCAATCCGTGAAACCCTTGCAAATGCTTGAAACGAGTGCGCGCGGCGCTAAGGCGAGAGCCAAATTTTGAAACCCACCCGCCATCAATCCGTGAAGCTCTTGTGCATTTCAATAGCGAGTGTTCGCGGCGCAAAGGCGAGAACCACATTTTGAAAACCACCCGCCCTCCATCTGTGAAACTGTTGCCAATGCTCAAACTTCAGGAATTTTCAGGCGAAACGCCTTGTCCGCCCTAGAAACTGACCTCGGGGTGCGACAGCAAGAAGTTATTTTTCAGGAAAAGGAAAGGAGGACGAGGAGGAGGAGGAGGAGGAGGAGGAGGAGGAGGAGGAGCAGGAGCAGGAGCAGGAGCAGGAGCAGGAGCAGGAGCGGGAGCGGGAGCAGGAGGGGTCCTGCGCGCCCAGCGCCCACCCTCGTCGTCGCCCTCGTCCCACTCCCCCCCCCCCGCTTTCCCATCTCCCTCCCCGTCCTCCTCCCTCCCTGCCCTTTTGCTGCCTCTTTCCTGCCCCTCCTCCTTCCTTCTCTCCATCTTCCTGTCCGCCTCCCCCTCCTTCCCCTCCTCCCCTGCCGTTGTCCCCCTCCCCCACCCTGCCTGCCTCGTACCCTTTCTCCTCCAGCTCTTTCGCTGGTCGCTGAGGCGCGTCAAGCAGTTCGTCTGTCCCGCCTTTATCATGCACGGGACGAATGACGAGATCATACCGTTCTACCACGCCTACCGCTTGCACCAGGCCTTCCAACTGGCGGGAGGGCGCGGGAGAAGGGGTGCCGATTCGGCCCTGGTGGTGTGAGAGCCTCAGCGCGCAAGGACTTGCTGGTTCCCCCACTCCTCATTCGGAGCTCTCCCGGGCACAGCGTTGAGCATGTCCGACCTTCTCCCTGACCGCTTCTCTCCCCAGACTGCTCCATCTCTCGTTCCCGCTGCCTCTCTCCCTCCAGCCCCGCCCCCTCGCCCCGCCCCGCCTCGCCTCTCTCTCTCTCCTCGCCTCCGACCCCACGGGTCGTTCCGATCCGATCGATCCGACTCGATCACGCCACGGGCGAACATCGATCCGATTCGATGCCGGCGCGGCCGATCCGTTCCGAGCCGGGCCCCGTGGGGGTGCGGCCCGATCCGACGCACGTTCGTCCGATGTCCCGGCTCGGTGCTGGGTGATCTTGCCCCCCTATCCTCCCGCAGGGGGGTTATAATTTGGGTTGTGGAAGTCGATTGCTGGAGAGGAAGCATGCTGCCACATAATTTCCAGGTGTCTAACATATGTTTTAAACATGAAACAACATGTCTGAGACATTGTTAGAACATGTTTCACACATTGTAAACATATTTTTCATTCAATGATAGGATTGTTAGAGTGTCCATTGTCATGGCATCCACAAAATTAGGGGGGTTAAGGTTAAGTCGGGCCGGTCCCTCTACAGGAGCAGTATTAGAAAACAGTCAAAAAATAATCAGGGGACGATTTTTCGGGGGCATTTCTCTGAGTATTCTTAAGGGGGGTGTTCCTAAGAATCCCCCCTGGACGGGGGGGGGGGGGGGGGCGAAAGGGCTTCCCAAGGGGAAAAGGGGAAGCAGAACGCCGTGCCCGCCGCCACGCGTCCCTCGGCCAGAGGTGGAGGAGGCGTGGAGGTGGAGGGGGAGGGAGGCACGGA